CCCCCNCCCCCCCCCCCCCCCCGGGCCCCAGGTATATGGTAGTACATTTTCACAGTGATATTCGTTTTCAGTGTCCCCAAAAAACCCCCGAGTTTAGAAATTAGACTCATTTTTACCGATATTTAGTAAAATACACATATTGCCAAAACCGTGTGTTCAAGATGCATTTTTAAAATGCATTTATCTCATCCACGGATGCAATTTTTCATTTGTCCCTCATAAGTTTTGTTCACAAAATTTCTAGACGCTCTCCCGAATCGAATGCCGAAAACCGCATCTCAATCCGACTTACTGTTCAAAATTCGGAGGTTGAATGCTTTATTTCCTTGACTATTATAGTCTCGTGACATATATGCATTGACGGCACATACGTATTGTCTGATATGTATAAGCAAGAGAGAGAGACAACTCAACGTGTTCAAGCCCGTGAGCTAAATTTTCGGCCGGTCGAACTAAATTTTTTTTTATGAGAATTAACATGAGAAAGCGCCACGCTGTGCTAAAGCTCAACGCAGCAGCGGCAGCAAATATTGTTCGAAAAAGATTCGGTGTGCAGCAGGAGCAGATATGGTCTTGAAATACTCGCTGCGTGGCAGCAGAAGCAGATATTGACTTAAAAAAATCTCGCTGCGCAGAAGCAGCAGATATTGTCGAGAGAAGAGCGTTGGACCCAAGACACTGCCTTGAGAAACACCCGTGGTAGTCGGAAACCAGGTCGAGTGGGCGCCAGTAGAGTCCACCACAGCCTGGGTCCGACCCCAAAGGTAAGAGGCAAACCAGCGCATAGTGAGGTCAGAGAAATTGAGTCCACGCATCTTCTCAAGTAGCAGCGCGTGTGGGACGGTGTCGAATGCCTTTGAAAAATCGAAAAGCCCCAACACCGTGACCTATTTAAGCTCAATGGCACGTAGTACATCTTCAAGGACCCCCAGGAGTGCAGTATGAGTGCTGTGCCCACGTCGAAAGCCAGCCTAATAAGGGTTTATGAGCCTTTTGGAGTAGAGATAGTGAGTCAGTTGATCATGAACCTCCCGCTCACAGACTTTCGACAGTTCGCAAAGCTTAGCGATAGGTCTTGTGTCTGAAATACTACTAAGATTACGCTTCTTGGCTAAAGGGAGGATTGAAGTCTTCAGCCAGCACGATGGATAAGCTCCCTGAGAGATTGAACCGTTAATGACCATCGTGAGTGACTCAAGTACCGACGGCAACGCAGCATTGACTATCGAATTTGAGATGTTGTTAGGACCAATGGCCCGTGGCTTTGAGCGGGATATGACCCTCATAGTCGTCTGACTAGATGTAGGCTCGAGACAGAAAATCGGGCGACTCCGGTGCAGAGGTCGAAGAAGGACACGCGAGATATCACCGTCTGTCAAGGGAGGCAGCCGAGACGAGAGAGGCAAAGTGATGATTAAGACTGTCAAGCGAGAATAACTTTAGAGAAGATGGAAAGCTATCCACACGCAAGCCAAGCTGATGTAGCACATCCCACTTTGTTTTGGAGTCAGGGGCCTCCTGAAGTCTAGATGAAAAGTAATTAAATTTCGCTCGATCGATAGCAGCCTTGACCTCCTTAATGTTGGACTGCAAGTGCGATTGACAGGCAATCCTATAAAAACGATCTCGATTTGAAATCAATTTTCGAATGTCAGTATCGACTCAGGGTTTTCGACGCGAAGAGACCGTACGGCGTCGCGCAGGTGCGTGAGTATCAAAAACAGCAAGTAGTGTATCGGCAAGTTTTTGGGTGAGTTCGTGGACGTCACCGCCACGGCCGCTCGCGTCAAACTCAATCTGAACGAGCGATGAACAGCAGGAAACAGCTCGCAGCACGGGAAAACACTCATCTAGTGGTGTGCACAGTCCGACCGAGATGTGTCCAAAACCCAACGTCGCCGACGCCTTCCATCAAGCCAGCTCGACCGGCATCGACGATTGACCTGGTCTCATTGGACGATGATGACGAGCCCATCATCGTGTGCGAAATCTTCCACGCGAGACAGCCAACAACACCGTGACAAGTACGATCCGCGTCCGTCGTAATCATCGAGCCGGCTGCATCACCACCAATATCGTTGGCCACGACTCCATCACTCTCTTTAGAGTCTCGGCCGCCGTCACCACTGAGATTTACTCCGACACCGTCGCCGTCATACGCGCCGATATCGTCAGTGTCGGAGAATTATAGCTCCTACGAGGATTACAGCGCGTCATGAGTGCGGCATTCACCGAGGCCGTCACCGTCGTACTCTCCGGTGCAGTCGGTGTCGGGGAGCCACAGTTGGTCCGGAAGCGACAACACCCCACAACAATCGCCACAGTTCGTGAGACGTGAACCCGGTATGGTTACACAATGAGCCCGTTTACGACGACGAAGAGATCGACCATAAGGTGGCACTAATTTGGGGGCAAAGAGCGTTCCAAGCGGCCGCGGACGAAGGATATTTTTCCGCGTAGAGCAGTGAGCTCTAGGCAGCGATAATTTTTATTTTATTTTATGACATAGTCACAGGCAAAGAGTAAAGACTTTTAGTTTTATTTTTCTCTTATCAGTCGAAGACCAAAAGACGAGTCATTTTCTTTTAAGTTTAATTATAATTCTGTTTTTTTTCTCAAGGCACAGGAGATGCCCAAATAAGAGAGTTTTATTTTTTTGACATTCTTCATGAGAAGAAAACTGTTAAATCCATTTTAAAGAAAAAGAAAATTGTTTTATTTTCGTACAGTAAACAAACGTTTTCTTTTATTATATACCTTCAACGACTCTTTCCTCAAATAATCTCTATTTTCGCAAAGAGCCAGGGGGGCTATGCAAGGTAACTACTTTATATTGAAAGTGCTCAAAGAGAGAATTGCAATAGTTACCCTTGGATTGACGATAGACCGAGATGAGGAGGATTTTTCTCTTGGCGAACGCGATCGCAACGCTCAAGACCTCATTCTCGTCGACGTGAGAGATCCTCGGACTATAGACGATCTTCGTCGGCAGGTCGTCACGCACATAGCATGTGGTTGTGGGTAATTAAACTAAAATTAAAATATTCTTTTTTTCTCGTCATAATAAATGAAAATATTTTATCGTCCAGTGGACTTGTCTCAACTAAAAAGTATAATACGACAGTGGCACCAATGACTAGAGGCATGACTTGTCAGAAATATGAGCTAAATAAAAAACTAAATTTAAACGTAGAGAAAAAAATATAAAAATGAAAGGAAATTAGTCTTTACGTCTAACGGATTTGTCAATAGAGCTCAAAAGCAAAAGAAAGTAACGTCGCGAATCTGTTGACTATTGCGAAGAGGCTGTAAATAATCCTTCGTCTGATTTGCGTGGCTTCATATCGATGTAATAGTCTCGTTCATTTGATTCAGCGTCACTGTCGTTCGATGAGGACTGGTGGAGTCTGTGCAGAATCTTTGTTGTTTCGTTGGAGTGCTCCTGGGCTGACCTTACAGCTTCCTTTGCGGCCTCCACCGTGGCTTATCTTCGTCTCTCCTCGTTCTCGGAAAGGGGCATGTCGCTGATAGTGTGACTGATGGTGGTGGTAGAGAGTGTGTTGCTGGGGCTCTGGCCTTCCCAGGATACACCTGGTCAAGCAACTGGGGCAGGTCTCGGTGCTGTGCTGGTCTCAGAGGATTCGCCTCAACTTGGTTATTATAGAGACCAGCTACAACGAGACCACCCAGCCACCAGCTAATGTGCATGCACTTGCAGGGCATGCTATCGTCTCGTTCGCACTGGGGGCCCGCTCCTGGCCCGGCCAGGCTCCTGGTATCTCCATTACCTCCACGTGGTCGCTGTCGTATGTGAGGTCGATAGCATCCATTCCCTCATTGCAACAGATCAAAATCGAGCGTGTAAATTTTATGATTCAAGAATTATGTGTTATAAAGGTTCAGAGTTTGGACAAATTTTCACGCAAGTGTTATTCTGAGATTATACTCTACGCATCTAAATCGAAAACGTCCTCGTCAATGGGTCACCGTCGCCTCCATCAAGCTTCGCGTTTTGTTTCTATTTCTTTTTCAAGATTGTGTATTTTTTTTGTTATTTCTTCGATTTTGATAATAAGTGGAATGATGATCGTTCAGCAATAATCTTTATTGGCCCGGATATTCTCCACCTTGCCTGGTCATAGCCATGTTTCGATTGTGTTCCAGATCCTGCGCCTAGCTTCGGCTTTGGACAAGGTCACAGCGAGACCTCTTTCCCTCGCTTGCTGGATGTGGAGTCGCCTTCATTCCTTGCGCTGCTTGGCGGATCTTTTGCCCATGCTCTACAAAATACGGTTTTAAAGATGTTACATGAAATCTGCCTCTTATCTTACTCGTACTTGGATTAACAAGTTCGTATGTTCCAAACAAGTATTTATTATGTATTTTATAAGGTCCTTCATAAAGACTTAGTAGCTTTGCCACTGTATGATTTGTAGACAATTCTACTCTTAATGCCTTTACAAGGACTAAATCACCCACTGAGAATTCAGTCATCCGAGTTGTATTTCTCGGTTTTTACCCTGTCTGTATCTCCATCAATGTGCAGCCGGTCGTATCGTTGACTGTCGAGTTGATGATCTCAGCGACCAAATTGCACTAATAAATCAAGTCTTGTTGTCCTGTCGTCCGTAAGAAATGACCGATCTACTTGTTATACCTTTCGACGAGGTTGCGCTTTGCTCTTTACGACGAGGGGCTCGTTCCAGCAAGGTAATCCGAAAAAATTTAAATATTTATTAAAACAACTCGCGGTCAATCAAAAATTGTATATTGAACAAAGGTGTCACAAAAGATTCAACATGAACCTGATTTCTTAAATTTATTCTTTCATTTGATTTCATCATCTAATGACATTTAAATGACGGGAGAGAGCCTAATGAATATAATACTCGTACATATTATAAAAACTCCTTATTTTATACTCTAAATGTATCAAAACACTCATTTTAAATTGATAACTGAAAATTACAATAGTATTATAATCGATACATTATTTGCAGATCATTATGACTTACCTACGAACACATGTTGGACGATTTTCCTGGTTGGGGAAATTAGTAATATTAGTTATTTCTGCATGGTTGTTAACAATTGTTTTATCAATTAATCAAATTAGAAAAAATTCAACTTTTAATACACCTGAAACAGATAAAACAGACCAAGATGATACGCAAAATCTAATGGAAATTTCCAAAGCTTTTCAAACTTTGAAGCAACAGAATATAGATTTACAAAACAATCAGATATGGTAAGAACATTGTATTTGCTAACTACATAAAGTATTATATTTAAAAATATCAATTAATGGATATTTTATTATACTTTTACGTTATTTTACACATGTATACAACAATATAATTTTATTATAAAAGGTTGCCAATAGTCCTTTTTTTGGCATTAGTTAATTAAAAGCATGAATATGCTTTTCACATTCGGCTCATAGTGTCCAGCGCTTCAATAAAAAAGTATACATATAAAATTTCCATACTATTATATTACATATAAGTATCATAAGTAACACTTTACGCAGGGTGTGATTTAGGGTACGTAGGCAACGAATGAAACGACATCCGAGCATGGTATGAGAATTTATGGCCCTGTGTTAAAATCGCAGTTATGCTTCTTTTTCAATATATAACGTAGCGAACTACGCCATGCAATCATCTAATTGAAAAAAGTATTCGTTCTACGTTTGTTCTACGATCAAATTGACTCGAAATGTATCCTAAGTAACCCAGCTTGTGCAGTCTATAGATCAATTAATATGTCGTCAGACGACATTTAATGACCGTAACTAGTGACATTTTTTTTTGAATCTCTCAAATGCAATCGTAATAAATTTAATAACGTCTCAGGACTCAGGTGCAGTTTTTATGATAATGAATAATCATGAAATATTGCATAATACACGTTGAAAGTGTCGACCTGAGTTAATTGTATGGAAGATCAAATAGATTGTGCAAGCTTGGTTACTTAGGTTACACATCGTGTCGTGTCAGGAGATCTGAAAAAAAATTTTCAGGACATTTGGTGACCCGCATCTCATGTGGTCTCCTTGTAAGTCTAGCTATCAGGATAGAATATGGACATAGCGAAGATGACGTTTCAGCAGTTTACGAATAATTTTTTTTCATTTTTTTATTTAAAATATTTTAAATATCTTTTTAAATTATAATAAAAATATTAGTCATGTTAAAAAAATAAGGCGCATGCCTTTTTTTTACAAAAAAAATATTAGGCATGTCATATTTTGGGTAGAACACATTACAGATCAACCACCCTTGAGGGTTCAAAGGGGGCTTATATAGTTATATATTTCTATTTATAGTATTAAGCTGAAAAGTGAAAAAAATTTTTTTTCAGAAAACAAGAGCCTTTTTCAATACCCCATTTGAAAGTACTTTGTCCAGTTAAATACTTACAACCACTTAAATTAACTTGTATAAGTCTGTGAACCTTCAGTGATAAGCATTTGGGATATCTAAGCTGTTTGTCGTAAGATTCCAAGTGTTTGCATGACACGACTAAGTTTTAGGTCATTTCATTTTCTTTGATGGATCATTATCCATCAACGCAACCTCAAACTAACCATAAGATCAACTTTGACTACTTCCACATACAATTTAATAAAATATTTTATTCATTAATGATTATTTTTGATAAATTTTAAAACAAAATATATATTTGAACGTAAAAATTTTCGCTCCTTTCAAATCTGAAATAAAAAATTTGGGTTACCGTGTAAAACTCCATTATGAGTTGCTGCAGCTTTTAGGTTATGTTCTAGGTCAAATTTAAGGTAACCATTGAAAAGAGCGAGAAATTTTACGTTCGATTAGGACTTTATGTTTTTTTTCCAATATCATTTTTGGGGCGCTACAGTCAGAAAATGAAGTTCTTACTTGAGCTTAATTTTAGGTTAAATCAGGGTTTTATTTGAGAATGTACTACCCTTAAAATGACCGTGAAAAAAAACGAAATACATGTTTCAACGTGAAATTTTCCGCTCCTTTCAAATTTGCAATAAAAATAGGGGTTTTCATTTGAAAAATCGATTATTGGGTCACTGTAGCTCTGAGGTTATGTTCAAGGTCAAATCCAAGGTCAGCATTGGATTCCCCATCAAAAAATACGTCGGATGTGAGGTTTTAGATTTTTTTTATCCGCATATTTAGCCCGCTTTTAGGAGGCTTCCATACTTTTGTGATACCCTGAATAATGTTTAGAATAATGTATTCTGTTAACACTAACATGTATTTTCAAAAAATTTTTAATACATATAATTTGATTCTAGGAAAAAAAAACTAGATGCTTCGGAAGATCAAGTACATCTATTTTTTCAAGAACTTATGAACAACTCATCAAATATCTTCAAATTGAAACACGAAAAAATAGATTTTCTATCAGAACCATCAATGAAGTATGAAGAAATGCGATCAAAAATCCAAAATATACTACAAGAAATGTGGTACGGTATTCTTTAAAAAATTCTATATACATTTTTCCCATCAAAGGACTCTGAAGTCAACATTTTTTTAGAGATTTATATCAAATACAATCTGCAACAAAATATCACAACAACAATTTTGATTGTATCGAGACGAATTTTTTCAGTTTTTTAAGCATTTTTTTTAGTTAACAGACATAAGAGGTATATTATGTAACGAGTTTTATTAAAAAACTATATACAATAGAACCTCGATGATACGAATTTCAAGGGGATGGCTGTGAATTTCGTCTTATAAGGTTTTCGTCTTATCGATAGTTCGTATTAAGGGGTGGTGTATAAATAAAATTCGTATTAACGAGGTTAAAAAAAATGTAATTTATTTTACAAAAAATGTATTTGTTTAGCTCGAATTATTTTCAAAAATTGTCAGTAATATTTTTCTGAACCAAGTTCTCAATTGCAATCTTATCAATAACGGCATCGATTTTGAATAGAGCAGCAAAAACACTTTCGACTCTGTTTTTACATTTCCCTATCAAATGACGTACACCGGACATTGCCGATTGCAGCTACTCTTTTTGTTAAATGTATATTATAAGAAGTCTCACCGCCATCCTCATCATCGTCATCATCATCAATATTGCCTCGATCTACTATACAAATCTATACGTAGATTTTTTAAATTAACTCTAAATTTTGCAGTTCGTTTTTTTTCTATTTACGTTCGAACTTTTTGATAGAATCACTGATTTCAAAATCACTGATTTATTTCATGAATTTGTTGAAATATTACAAGAACCCCCGCTGAGAACTAATTTTAATATATCATAACAATAAGTTTGAGAATACGTAAACAATGACAAAATTTTCCTCATATTGCGCAAATTTTGAAAAATTTAAATTCGTACTAGGGAGGTTTAATTAGTACATGTTAAAATTCTTATTAGAGAGGGTTTTCGACGGAGAACGGTGTTGAATTCGTGTTATAGAGGAATTCGTCTTATAGAGGTGTGTACTAACGAGGTTCTACTGTATAGTTGAACCGAAAATTTTTTACAAGTATACACAAACAAACCAAAATATTATAAAAAATTAGAAACAACTGAGATTTTAAATAATCCTTTAGTGGTAAATCTTTTTTTCAAAAAGATTATTAGAAGCAAGTATGTCAGTTTGGATCCTACAGTAAGAATTAAATAAACTTACCTATGTTTACCTATGAACCTATGATTACCTATGATGTTAATGAAATCAGAAACTTTTTGACAAGTACACAAGCAAACCAAGATATTATATAAAATTAGAAACAACTGAGATTTTAAATAATCCTTTAGTGGTAATTCTTTTTTTCAAAAAGATTATTAGAAGCAAGTATGTCAGTTTGGACCCTACAGTAAGAATTAAACTTACCTATGTTTACCTATGAACCTATGATTACCTATGATGTTAATGAAATCAGAAACTTTTTGACAAGTACACAAGCAAACCAAGATATTATATAAAATTAGAAACAACTTTATGAGTTTTTTCAAGTCTATTGATAATATTCATAAAAACTATGATAAAATTTTCATAATTAATTCTGAATTGAATGATAAGTGGATGAGAGCACGCTAGTTAGCTATAGTATATGAAAAAAACCGTAATTCTATGACTTTACTTGCCCGGCCGTCTAGATGAAAAACGATGCGAACTATCCAAAGACATAATTTTTAAAAAAACACTGATAATTCAAAAATTATTATTTTATTAATATATATTTTTTTAAACTACAGAAAAATAATTTTTAAATAAATAACTACGATTGTTACATAATAATTTTGCAGCAGATATGTTGAAACGTTACTTTGAAAAAGCATTATTAATTGTTCGGAGATCTATCGAAGAAAAAAATGAATAAAATGAAGTAAAATACATAAATAAATATAAGTACTTCATAAATTGACATAATGTTTTAATCAAAAACGTCATTTTCATTTTGCATACATTAAATTTTTTCTATTGAAGTAGGTGTAAACGTTTTGTATTTAATCTAGACGGCCGGGCAAGTAAAGTCATAGAATTACGGTTTTTTTCATATACTATAGCTAACTAGCGTGCTCTCATCCACTTATCATTCAATTCAGAATTAATTATGAAAATTTTATCATAGTTTTTATGAATATTATCAATAGACTTGAAAAAACTCATAAAGTTGTTTCTAATTTTATATAATATCTTGGTTTGCTTGTGTACTTGTCAAAAAGTTTCTGATTTCATTAACATCATAGGTAATCATAGGTTCATAGGTAAACATAGGTAAGTTTAATTCTTACTGTAGGATCCAAACTGACATACTTGCTTCTAATAATCTTTTTGAAAAAAAGAATTACCACTAAAGGATTATTTAAAATCTCAGTTGTTTCTAATTTTATATAATATCTTGGTTTGCTTGTGTACTTGTCAAAAAGTTTCTGATTTCATTAACATCATAGGTAATCATAGGTTCATAGGTAAACATAGGTAAGTTTAATTCTTACTGTAGGGTCCAAACTGACATACTTGCTTCTAATAATCTTTTTGAAAAAAAGAATTACCACTAAAGGATTATTTAAAATCTCAGTTGTTTCTAATTTTATATAATATCTTGGTTTGCTTGTGTACTTGTCAAAAAGTTTCTGATTTCATTAACATCATAGGTAATCATAGGTTCATAGGTAAACATAGGTAAGTTTAATTCTTACTGTAGGGTCCAAACTGACATACTTGCTTCTAATAATCTTTTTGAAAAAAAGAATTACCACTAAAGGATTATTTAAAATCTCAGTTGCTTCTAATTTTATATAATATCTTGGTTTGCTTGTGTACTTGTCAAAAAGTTTCTGATTTCATTAATATCATAGGTAATCATAGGTTCATAGGTAAACATAGGTAAGTTAATTATTTTACTCTAAAACTGTATAAAATTGAAGATGCGCTCGCGCGGAGCAATAGTCGCAAAGCGGAGAAAAGTCTGGAAAAATATTGCGCTTGTGCATTTTGACAGATTTTTGTCTTCTCTTTTCAATAGTGGTATCATCGAAATGCATAAGCGCAATATTTTTCCAGACCCACATGCACCGGACACGAGTAAAAAATTAAAATATGGCCCGTGCCAGCGCAGCTTCAATTTTATACAGTTATTGGAATAATTATGTGTTTCCGATTTTTTTGATATTCACGAATTTTTTTACTTTTGTTTCGAGCAGAAGCTTCAAAGCTGTGCAACTCGTTTTCAAATTCAAATAATTTTTCTTCGGAACTCAGACTATATTTTGGTTGACTTTTGAATATAACACTTTATTTTAATTTAATTTTTTAATTTTCTTGACGCCCGGGGTGATTTATGTACAGTAACACCGCAACTTTCCGGTCAAAGTCATCGCCGAGTTCGAATTTCGACCTAGTGCGTGAGCGGGTTACCGAGGACGATATTTGAGCGAAAACATCTCGACTTTCCGAAGAAAGTCATCGTCGAGTCCGTATTCCGATCTAGTGCGTCGAGCGGGCCGCCCGGAATAATATAGTCTCGCGGTAACATCGCAACTTCGCGGATAAAGTCATTGCCGAGTTCGGATCCCGAATTAGTGCGTCGAGCTCGCTACCCGGGACGATACTTGTGCAAAAACATCGCGACTTCCCGGAGACTGTCATCGCCGAGCCCGGATTTTGACCTAGTGCGCCGAGCGGGTTACGCGAAATGATATTTCCGAGGCAAAATCGCAGCTTCCTAGAGAAAGTCGTCGTCGATTCCGGACGGATATCAACCTGATGCTCCGAGCGGTCATTCTATAGGGTAATATTCTCGCGTAAAACCCGTAATTGCGTGGAGAAAGTCATTTTCGAGTGTCGAGTTCGACCTGGTGCCCCGACCGGGTTACCCAGGATAATTGCGAGAATCTTGATGTCGAGAGAAAAATCTACATGTATCGTTTAAAACTCATACATATCAAATCGATGCGCAGCATCTATACATAGATACATTTAGCCTTATTAATCGATTAAATCGATGATATGAAGTTGGCCGGAAGACCGCGTGAGACCGCGTTTTGCGTGAGACCGTTTTTTCGTCGGGGATTTTTTCTTTTATCATTCGTATTTAGTTAATACTGCGTTTTTCGGAGACTATGAATGCACTATTTTCGGTCACTTTTTACAAGGAATCGATTTACCGAATCAGAATTACCGTATGTTTTATAGATTTCAAATAATAACGTTAGGTTGTTTTCGCGGGTCCCGAAATCGCGATTCTCGCGTATATGAGGAGCGTGGAGTGACGCTGCTCTCGCCTGCCATACTTGCCATTCGGAGCGCGACACGCGCTCCTCGATAATACTATTTTTTCCTACGAGAGCTAAAAATTCGCGACAAAGTTGCGTATTTTATGTTAGAGTGGATAATAGTTATTTATGCAACAAGTGCCCAAAAAGCGTTTTTGGACCCGAGTTGTGCGAAAAAAGACACGAGTGTCGGCCATGTCGGCACGAGTGGATTTTTTTCCGCACACTGTGCGCCAAAAGCTGGGCACGTGTTGCATACAAAATTTTATGCAATAGTAAGCGAAAAAAACTTTCATTTAAATGAGGCGTTTTACCGCACCCCCGCGTCCAAAGTGAGGCATTTTACCGCACACCAGTGTCGAAATGAGACATTTTGCCGCATACAAGTGTCCAAAAACGCTTTTTGCGCACTAAAAAATTTGCGAAAAAAGACATTTTTCGTCATACTATTGCATAAAAATATTTTTCCCACTCTAACCTAAAATACGCAACTTTGCCGCTAATTTTAGGCTCTCGTAGGAAAAAATAGTATCTCAAACTGGTGCAGATATGGTTTTTTAACAAAACTCGTTACAGCACTCGCCTTCGGCTCGTGCTAGAATCCCTCGTTTTGCTAAAAAACCATATGTGCACCCGTTGAGAAATATACTATTTCGACGTGATTCGTAAAATCGTGATTCGATGAGATGTGTTTTTCTTCATGTCATCCGACAAGGTGTA